GAGCACAGTCTAATGATAAGTAGGCTGTTTAAACAATAAGCCTCTCAAGTGAGCAATATACATTCTGTTCTGTTTTTCTTACTTTGTGCTGCTTTAAATCAAAGTCCATGGGTCTGCTATTGCTGGGAGGTTGGACATGTTGTCTGCAAGTAAATAGGCCCTCTGCCAAGTAACTAGAGCTCACTCTTGGTAAAGGAAGAACATTGTTCACTAAAATAGTTTGTCTTTTGATGCCAAAGGAAATCAAATTGTAATCAAGGGCTGAGAACGGACTGAAGTCATAAAGGCTGGCTTGCCTCAGACTTTGGCAGCCTCACTTGTTCCCAGGCATATTAAATATAATTTACGTTTGCAAAGGGGAGAGGCTTTATTACACTGGAAATTTGTTTTAAATAACACTTAAGTGAAACACTGTCAGGGGCAGCCAGGGATACACTTCTACTGTCATTTAGGCTGCTGAAAATCCAGAATATGTTCATGGGTTTTATCAGATTTGTTCTGATCTGTGTAAATGGATATTTGTGGTCAATGTTGATGAAACAATCACATTTCCTAGGTTCTGGTCACCCATGCTGAGTGGAAAGTTCATGATGAAAGGCTTACCTCAGAAAATGTTTATGTTTTTCTTCCACTTTATTGTGCATGTGAAAATTCACATTAAATATAAATAACCATCTCTGGATGAAAAATCGTGAACACTGTATAGTATTGTTGGATCAATTCTGTCCTTGATATGCAGTGTATGAAGCTGAATAAATTTTACTCAGAATTTCTGTGTAAAAAGTTAAAGTTTAAAAGTTATCATTTATTGTTTCAGAAAGTAACTAAGAATACTTGAAGATAAATAAATAAAAAACCTCTGATTTTTATTTTTCTAAATGAAATTTATCTTTCGGAACAGTAAAACTTGCTTTTATTTCACCATGGAATTAGAAACTAATTTAAAAATAGATTCTCCCAGGAAGTGATAATTCTACTTTTCAGCACCTTGCTCATAAGTAGCCAGATGAGGGAAAATATTGTTTTCTTCACACAGTTTTGGATAAGATATTTTTATTCTAACCTGACAACATAATGTAGGTTACATCTGAAACTTGTTTTACAGATTTGCACTGAGTCAAAGCAATGGAATCTGCCAACTAAAAAGTAAAAGGTCTTCCATGAACATCTCATTTAAGATCACATTAGCTCCTTTGTTTTGCAGCTTTGTCACATTGCATATAGCATTTGTCAGCAAACTCAATGTAGTTCTTTACGTACTATATAAAGGAAATTTAACCCTAAGGAAAAATCATAAGGGATAATTAACCTACCAAAGAACTGTTTGGGTAGCTGCTGTCTTTAAAAAGTGGGATTTTTTTGTTTCAATCCTTCTGTTGGAAATAATATTGAAGCAGCCTTCCACCTTAAAATGGCAGTATTTGGATCAGTTTGCACAGTTCACCTCTGTTCAAGTAACAATTGACATTTGAAGCAATTTAAGGTTAATTCTGTTAAAAGACTAGGACAGATTTTAGGCCTTGCTGACTAATTTGGAGGTCTAACACAAGCTTTTAAGAACCTTAAGAATATGTTTTCTGTGTCTCAGTGCCTGAGGGAGCAAAATAGGTAGGCATCTGTCTGTGATGCTTCTTGAAGCCCTGCCCGTGTCTGTGAATGTATTTACCTAAGTCTTGATGATGCCTAACATCTAAACGACTAGCTTAATTCCCAAACTCTGTCACCTCTGAGTAATCTATAGCCTCATGACTAAGTTTTTTCTGGAGGCTCCTTAGAAACTATGTTTTGTGCATGTATGCTGTACAAGACATCTAATTTAATTTGGCTCAGGGCAGTGGGTCCTAATAAGAGGCAAGGTGTCTAGAAGATGTGACCTGCATTTCTCACCATTGCCTGAGTCCTTGTCTGAGTCTAACCTAAGGCACTTAAAAATAGCTTGATTAAAATAAAAACAAAACCTATTTTTCCATGCAGCTGGAACTCTCCCTTTTCCATAAAGGAGGTAGAATTTAAATGGATTATTTTCTGAACAAAAATAATTAGATTGCACTATTAATATTCAATAATTTTTAGACAAAATACCAGGTTTTGTTATGATGAAATGAGAGTCAGTAACTGCCGAAGTCCTTACTTATGATATCAGTGGTTATTCCAAGGGGAAAATGACAGAGTAAAATTTTTCTGCATTGCAGCATAAAAATACCAGGACTATCAACTATAACCCATGGCTGCTCTTTTTCTGAGCTGTAACACACATTTGGATGATATATGGTGAGGGCTAAGAAACTACAAAAGATAGAAGGGGGCCTGAAGAGGTAAATGCTATGACACTCAGACATGAACTAAACTTCCTTGCACTTTTGACAGCCACAGGCACTCATGGAGATTTGACAAATTGGTAGTCACTTCAAAATAGTCCATGCCAGTGAGTATCACATGATCGTGGAGCATGGGGTTTTGAGACTAATAAAAGCAAGACACTGCTAAAAGTTACAATCAGACTAGGAAGACATTCCAAAAAGTAACTGGACAGATCTCAACATGTATTCTCTTAAGTGCAAGCAGGGATTAAGCTGCTCTGTGAGTTTATGTCTGTGGCTCCTGTGAAGATCTGCAGCTCAGATATGCTCTGAAGTCAGGGAGATGCTCTGAGACAGCCCCACGCTCTCTGAAGAAGTCCGCACAAAAAGCCTTTCACAAAATGACTTCGGGATTCAAGCCTGTTTTCAGTATTCCCTTCTCTAGCACTGCGCAGTCTTGTATCATACTTTTCAAGTGCTCTCATACTTTCTGTTGCTTTTTTTTCCCTCCCCTTTCAGTCACACAAGGCCATACAGTGTATTCAAATGTTAATAGGACCATTTGTGTATTTATTGAAATAGGAACAAACAGACTGCTTTAAAAGTTTTAACTTTTATATATAGATAGGTGTATAGAGATATTTATACTTTTGTTATGTTTTTTGCCTTCCCTTTGTACTGTCTTGTAAACATGTCATGAACTTGATCCTTCATTTTTGAAAACAATAGAAGCTGGATGCTGACTGCAGGGGAAGCAAATGAAAGACCCATCTCTATTGTTACAGCTTTCTTAAAAAAAAAAAAAAAATTGAGACCTTCAAAAATGTTATTTGAAATACATATGCATATTGCAAACAAAATAGGAGTAGAAGGATGTATTTCAGTGACCAAACTGTACTTGCTGTTGCATCTGCTCATAACCAGGGCAATGCTAGGAAGCAGGGAGACAGATATAAAAGACAACCCAGCTGAGTGTGAAAATAAAAATGTACAAGAGGTGCAGAGCTTGTAGCTTGACTCTACACCCACCTCACCATTATTTTGTTTTTAGATGCTTATTGACAAATCAACTAGCGGTATCATCCCACCGTGTGTTTGGGAACTGAACAGCTCACAGTTTTTCTGCAGTAGGAAATTTGTCCTACTGCTGCAGAGACCGGGCAATCTATTTCTATCAGTTTACACTCTTCTGTTGGATATGGTTTTTTTCTTCTGAGGAGACCCAAAGCCAGTCAGCTCAAAGTTAACATCTGTTCAAATTGTCATATACTTTTAGAGGAAACATGAAAATAAATTTGTGCCAGAATTTTAGTTGAGATTATGATGAAGTTAACTCGTTTGGACAAAGAGATCCTTCCCCCAAACTTCATTTACATGCTAAGACTTGACAATACAGGAAAAACACAGCTAATGGAGGTAGAATTACCAGCCTGTCCTCTTAACAGAAGACTTTTGGAAACATGTTCCCTCCTTGGGAAAGGGTTTCTCCTGCATGAGGTTCTGACTCAGAAAATATACAAAAGACTGTTATAACAGAAAAGTACATAAACAATCATGTTTCAATATCTGCAATATTCATATTAATTATTTTATATTATTTAATCAACATTCCTAACTGAAAAAAATATTTTTCAGCAGTCAGGCAATCAGGTGACATAGGCCCTGTAGTGATGTCTATAATTAAAGCCATCTGAAATTCATGTACAGGTATACATCTGTGTGGATGTGCATGCATCTGTATTATGCCTAAATCCATACACCTTTCTATATAAACACCAAGTATAATTTTAAATCATTTTACTTAATTAAAATACGATTCAGACTAAACAAACATCTGTTACTTCTGCTACAGGAGCAAACACCTTTTCTTATTTTGTGTTTGTCTGAGATGGAATTAAGTGAAATACAACATCCCAAATCAGCTGCACTGCAAATACCCAGTTTATATGACCTACAGAAACCATAAACAGGCAAATTTTGTTTTTTATCTGCTGAAAATACAGTGTCATGAAACAACAACAAAAAAAAACCAGCTGTACCATACTGTTGTAAAAGAAACCATGATCTTGATAATACAGCCCCACGATGAAAATAACTGAATTATTTCAGTCAAAGTAAATTTAAACAAACAAACAAACAACCCAAACTCAAAAGTCTTACACCATATCAGGTGTTTGTTACAAGGAATGTCAGAAATCATGTCAGAGAAAGCATAAAAAATTCAAGAGACATTTTGGCATGTTGTCAAAAGCAAACACGAAAGTCTATTCAAAGGCAAACATATCTGTTCACTGTAATGCATTATAATACTGGCTATTCAGTTTTTTTGTTCAAGCTCAATGGTCCTAAAACAAAACCCCAAACTCTTAATAGGGTTTTCATTGCCCACGTGCATATGAAATAACTTTAAGGTTATATATGGTACTTATCCAAGCATTTTCCTGTGTATATTTTCCTTCTTTAAAAACTACTGTTTAATTACTAAATTCCTTGAGTGCAATGAATCTGGGTGATAAATAGAAGTCTGCAAAACAAGGGAAACTTCTGTAGCAAAATAGCCCACTTTTACAGTGAAAAAGATAAATAATAAGAGAAAGACTTAACAACTTCTAACAATGAGTCCCTGTGTCGAAAATATCAATGAACAGTGAATTGTAGCAGTTTTAGGACACTTGAGTGAAACTATTGAATAGTACTCACAGTTACTTTTTGCCTTTTTCTACGATAATATAGACTTTTCAGTATCTTCTTGTTGTGTAGAAGAGATTTATAGTTTGTCTTGTGCTTTGCAGTTCCAAAAGAAGACACAAGGCAAAAGAAGCTCAAAATTCAAAGAAAAAGGATAACATGCTTTCTCTACTGTATCAAGAAAGGTTGAATAACTGTTGTGTACCTAATATGCAAAGACATCTTAGTATAACAAGATACAGCTTAACTCCTAGAGTCCTTGTTATTTAATCCATTTAGTTCTGCCCAGGGATCACATGAATTTATGGAAACCCCCTGCTACCCTCTTTGTTGACTTCCATCCCTGCTGGGAGATCCCCATCTGCTGGGAAGTGAAACTCTGTCCTGAACTTTACCTCATTTAACAGTGTGCCACATGTAAATCCAACTTCTTCATTTATTACTTTGACAGAGCAGATGGCAATGGGCTTTTAAAAGACTGTAATGTTGCTTAAAACCAGCTATATTTGTAGAAATAATAGTTTTAGCTGCTTGGATTCTAGTGCCTGATTTTAGGAAAAGAGTCTGACACAGGCAATTAAATTTTTGAGCCATCAGTACTTAGTGATGCATCATAATTTAGCTGTTTTCAGAAAATCATATTGTGACCGAATAATCATTCATTAAGACAGAAAATACTTTTTTAATGGAAATTTGAGACTTGTATTTGGTGGCTGATATGAGTGACTAGTTTTCTAATAGCCTTAATCACTGGAGTATTTCTTTACTCGTTCATTTAAGCCCATTAATGAAAACGTATGATGTTAAGTCTAATATCTACTAACCCCTGATGACTGTTTTGACTTACAGCATTGTCCTATAAATAACTGTGAATGACATGCACTGAAAATCAAAGAGTATTATTTCACTGTGATTAAAGAGAACAGATTCACCCAAGACATCCTTTTCATCCACTAAGACCACAGAGAAATTAATTGTTAGCTTGAGTCAGATGTAATGTACTTCAAAATGTCTTGTCCTTAAAAATCTTACCCTGAATGCATAATGCAGGTTTTAAAAATAACCTGAAAACTCAACCTCAGCCATTGAATTTGCTTATAGAACGCATGTAATGGGATAGAGAACATCAAGCACAATCACAGTGTCCTGGTCTTGAAGACCAGAAATACTATAAATTCCTTGTCCTCAAGGTCCAGTCTAACGGTTTGTTCATTGTCTGTTTGTTTACATTCAGTTTCATATATGAAAGGACTTTTAGCCCTGAAGAAGGAAAGTAAACCTTACATAGCCACTGCTGACTGTGCTTTTCTGACTTTAAATATCAGCTAACTTGATGCTTTGTAAAATTCAAAGAGCGTGTGTTTATCTGATACAACTGGGATTTTCGGTTATGTTCATCTTGGCCATGAACCTTCTGATCATATTATAAGTATTATGGCCAAAGGGCACTGGTTGTTGGCATGACATGTGTGCTCTGTCATGCAGTCATGTCATCTTGTATGGCAGCTTCAGGGTGAGACCTCATATGAAGTGAACAATCTGTGTTCTTTTTTGTAAATTAAACAAACACTTCTAATATGCATTTCCTTAGTTTTAAGTCAGGTGTTTTAAGATATTTCAGTCTTGTGCATATGCATACGCCCTAATGTCAGATACTGTGTTTCATAAGAGGTTTTTGCCTTTCTGATGCTAAATAACACTGTTTAGAAACAAGGATGTCTGTGCCCAAAGGGCTTTTATTATGAACTGTGCAGGCCTCCTCTGCAACTACCTTGGTCAAACTTCTGTGATACAACACCTTGCTTTTATTGATCATTTGGAGAACATTATAGCAGGAAGGGGTTTGTCTCTCAGTGTAATTTCCTTTGATATACATTGTATTATATTTAAAATTTTAGTTCATATATTGGAACTTTCTTAAGCTTTAATATCACGCTGATTTTTCTTGATTTTAGTTTCAGATGATTTTCAAGATTCTTGAGTTAAAAATTAAAACCTAAGGGCCATCTTCTGCGTGAAAAGCCCCAGAAAGATAATCCTGGTGACAAATTCCTTTGCAACAGTTTCTTGCAATATGATACACAGAAAAGTGATGCACCAGAGTAAAATCCAGAGAGACTCTGTTCTTATCTAATAAATCCCCTAGAGAAAATCTAAGGAAAATTGGAGTCAGGCGTGGCTATTCCTGCTTTGACTATAAGCTCAGGAACACGCCTCACCTTTTTCAAGGCAACTCCAGAGGAAATGGCAGCAACGATCTTCTCCTGCCCCATTGTTGCTGCCTATAAAAGTGATAGGAAATCAGTGGATAATTAATGGGTATGTATAACATAACCCAGATGAGAAACTGGACTGCAGTGGGAGGCAATTAGGTAGTATGAGGATCTGAGAGGCCTGAGGAAAGGAAGACATCTTAGTTCTGCTGGTGCAAGATGCAATGGCATCCACATACATGTGGCTCTTGCTGGTACAGTCTAACCATGGTTGGTTTATAATGAAATAAAAGTGTTTGCCCTTTCTTGTATTTGAGAGCCTACAGTCTGAACTTTGTTGGGGAAAGCGTTATTAGTCAGTATGAGGAAAAATGGTGGAATCAGGAACTTAATTTTTTTTTTTTTTCCCCTAAATTGTCTAGGACTAGAATTGTCTCCTTCTTGGTAATTTATACCTAAAAAAAAAATGTAAAAAATACAGCATGTATTATTTACGTAAAGAGAGAAATGTAATCACTAATGAAAGTTAACACCATATGGAATTTAAAGAAAAAATAAAATAAAATAAAAGAAAATCCCCAACACGATTGCACAAGGATTTAAAAATCCCCCCATGCCGGAAAGCCAGCCGCTTCCTTTTCTCAATGGTTGTGTGTAGGCAGTTTATGGTATTTCGGTAATTCTGACCTTTGTTTAACTACAAGGCTGTGTGTCAATAAAGTGAGAAGTCCAAACAAGTAAAGCAATCACTTCGCGCACAGCTGGTTAAAATTCATGGCTAGCAGGGAACAGACTGCCACAGGAAAGCCCTCAGCCTGTCCATCTACTGGTACCATACCACCAGCAGAGCTCCTTTTATTCAAGCTTCTCCCTGTGGTTGCCTCCAATTCTTTTGCAAATCTTGCTCTTCCCTCACAAATTTATAGCCCATTGAATCACTTTCTGTGGGTGGCTTGAAACATCTGGGTAGCAATCCTTCAGTCTATGTCCTGAACCCTCCCGTTAAACAATGGCGCATAGGCCACAGGCAGCTCCACCACGAAACCCAGGAGGAAGAATGGAGCTGGTTAACATGTATATTCATTACCGGCGCTCAATTAGGGGGTGAGAGAAGGTGGAGGAGCTCAGGGTCTTACTTTGTCAGCCTCGGAAAAAACGTTCCTGCGATTGTTACATCATGTTTCATTAGACTAACTCAGTTTAGGCGATGCTAATTTCCTCCTGGATGTCAGGCCTATCACTACCAGCTGTCACTTTTACAGGAGGTTCTGCAGTAGATTCAAGCTGAGCTGGTTGAACTCCCATGTCTCTGGCCACCGGCCTGACAGAGGGGGGAATGTCTCAAAAGAGCAGACGCAATTCATTTACAGGAGTTTTATGTTTAAATTAATTTAATAGATTTTAATAGAGAGGGCAACTTTTCTCCAGAGTTTTAGAAGTTTTAGATAGCTGGGATAAAGCTCCCTATTGAACTCTAAATTTAAATATTTTATAAGAAATGTCTGTATTTCTAAGGATTTATCTGAAAAGCTGTGTCTTTTAGTAGAGATTTTTTTGCTTCAGGATAATCAGGCAATGTGAGAGAAGGAAGAGTGGAGGGAACTTTTCCCTATTTATTTTTAGATAGCATAATCATGCTAGGAGATTAAATTAAGAGATTTACAGTTGCAATAAATATTCTTTGGGCTTTTTGTGTTTCACACCACACACACCACCACCACCCCCCCCCCCCCCCGCTTATATATGGATATCTGAGGGTGTTAATGATAGACAAAGAAAGATATAGCATATTTTTCCCTTTATGTTATTCCCTATTTATGTTATTCAGTGTGTAATAGTGTTCCTAAATAACACATGCTAAATCAGAGTTACTTAGTTATATTACTGAGTTCTGTTGGACCATACTGATGTTTGTTTAACTTTCACATTGTTGGACCAGCCAAGTGCTGCATATCATGTTCCTCACTGCAAATGGTAAATGCAGGAGGTATCACAACTTATAGATCTTGGTAAATTCTGGGCAAAATTTTATTCCAGATTTAGACTAATGCTCCTATTTTAGTATGTCAAGATTAGGTACTTAAATTCTACAAATGATGATGTTTTTATTGTCATTATGTTCTATTATACAACTACTGTATTATTTTTTTTGGAATTTTTGGGCAGAGATAGAGTTGAGCTTTTTTTTGAGACTGAAAGATGCTGAGCATCTTACCAAAACATACTGATGCAAATGGGTTCTCTGACACCTCTGCCCTGCCCCCCATCCCCTCCAAAAAAAAGAGGAACAGCAGAAAGCAGCATCACTCACTGTAACTTGGACTGTATCATCCCTTGCTGAAATTTCTTCCTGTCTTAATAATACATCTACATCAGAATAATCTGCTTCATGCTGTTGTTCTGGGACAATAGATCTGTGACCTCAAAAGATGCCCTTCAGATCCACTCAAATGGCAAAGCAGAAGTAGGTTGACATACCAACCAACCTATCAGTACCTGCAGAACAGTAAATATGTCAGAAAATGAGGCTGATTCACAGTTGGTACTGATGGGACATGAACTTGTGAGATAACATACAAATGTGTCTGACCTGTTAAGTTATAACTATTTTGCTTCAGTGTGGGCTGAAGAACAATGATGGCTATTAGTTTGCTTTTATAGAGAGGACTACTGGCAGGTGCTATAAGTCTCTCCAGAGAGCCTTGGTACCAAAATGATTAATTGACTGAGGCAGGAGTTTGAGCACACACTCAATTATTGTGTGTCATTGCAGAGAAGAAGGTGTACGTAATATTGGTTGGGATGGGGAACTACCTTGCTATCGAGTATCAAATACTTAGAGAGAACCATTAAGACTCAGTCTACAGTGAAGGAAAATGCCTTTCTTTAGGAAAGAATAATCAGTTTGCAGTCATTCTCAGAACAGAAAAACTTGCTAAATTTACTGAGAAAATTGTTTATCTGCCTCTAAAGAAAATGT